ATCAATCCCATTATACCACATCTTATCATCCCTCAACGCAGTGGCAACCTCCTCCACATCCATCCTCAGCGCCTTCATCGCCGGGTCCACTCCGTCCGCCCCACACTCAATTACAAGCTTCCTAACGATGTTGGTCATAGCAGGCAACAACACCGCGCGCATTTGCCTTTGGAATGCCCGATAAACGAACTCGCATAGTTGGAACGAAGGCGGTATCTCCCCTCGGACTATGGGAGCGAGGGGATGGATGGCGTCCTCGGGTTCGTTGCTGTCGGCAGGGTCCAAACTCCAAGGGCAGGGATGAATCGCACGGATTGCAGGAGATTTCTCCGAGTCGAAATGGTTGTACCATTGGTCAGCCGGACTGATCCAAAACCCGTCCAAAATCCGGTTTCGCGCCCAATCATTGATGGCGAGGTCCTTCACTCCACTCTCCTCCGTCATTGATAACAACTCCGGGTCCTCCTCGTCTTCCTCACTCAACTCCTCCTCGCTCTCATACCCCTCCTCCCTCGACGCGTACCTTGAAGCAGCCAGAGCTTGCTGAAGCATATCCGCCAACTTGGTATTGTTCCTCAACCAGTGTTTTTCTTGAGCGAGACTGATAACGTCCGAGATGGTCCCTTCGCCCATTTCGATGAATGCGTCAATCGACTGGCGAGTTTCCCAATCGGCGGCATTCCATTTCGCTCCTCCCAGAGCTTCCCTATCTCGGGCGGTTGCCTTCTTGTATAACCACTCGCCTCTGCAACTTCGGCATGTAGCCTCAATACCGGGCCACATCTCTTCGTCCTCATTCTCCGCACAACAAACGGGGTTGCGATCGTTTTCATTCTCGATGGGAGGTGCCTCTCTTAGGCACAGCCCGCAGAACGTCACTTTACGATGTTCACGGCAGACGGGTATGACTCCTAGGAACGCGGTGTGTGCGGTTCGTTTCGCGTTTGTGAGACCGGTAGGTGTGTAAGGGTGGTTGATTCGACAGACGTAGCACGAGCAGTTGATGATGTTGCGAAAGTGGCGGTGAGGGCTCAGGCGGATGATTGGTGCAGAGGTGTTGTTGGTCGAGATGATCGAGTGGTGTATCAGCGTGTCCATGGGGTCCACAGTGGCGATAGCTTGGTGCCAGAAGAGGTGTTCCTCCACTAATGAGGTGAAAGAGTATCAGTTATAGAACTGAATATCGCAGGCGGTGGGAATAGATTCATGAGACGACGACAAGTTCCCCCAGAACTCGAGCGCGTCCGAGCAGGGTCGCGATTAGACAAGCTCAGCACGCCATCCCCGCCACTGGACACTGCATTCCTATCGCACCCAACAATCGAGGATCCAGAATCTCCGCAGCCACTCTGTACCGACTGCAAGACAACGAGAGACACTCACGAGCTTTGCTCCAAGAAGGACATATGTACATGAGCTTTTCAAGTTCATTTGCATCGCGCAACACGGCGTAGACGCCGCGAAAAGGCCATTGATCTGGTAATGCCCAAGTTCGGGGAAATTGCGCCTGCGAAGCGAAATTAACAATGTAGTGAGTCGCGACGAGTCTGATAAAGGCAGATGAGCGGTTGAGAATGTGGAGCGATCGAAGGGCGCAACCTGATAATTTCTGGTGGCAATTGGGGCCATGATCTATTGGTGAATTTGCCCTTGTATGCTGGGGATGACAGCGGCGACTTTGGCGGCGACGTTCGCGACGATGACGAGGGACTGTTTGGCATCGGTTTACGTTTGCCGCAGCGTCACAGGAATTTGGGTCAGCGATGTGGGTGACGGATATCCTTGTCACAGCAAGTGGCGCGACTCAAAAGCACACACAGGCGTCTATCGCTATGTTCTTCCCACGCACGGACCATCTCCAACCACCTATTGTTCTCGTCGGCCTCTACTCGCCGACGACTCTAACGATGACCTGAGGCCTCTGGCAGAACCCTGGCCCCCCTTCTGATGCGTATATTCTTCTCCATTGCTCGCTACCTCCTGGCCGGAGCTGCTTTGCCCGCCCTGGACTAGGTTCACCAACTACTTTTCTCAGGAACAGTCTGGTCTCGAGTATTAATCGCCTGTGGCTCTTGACAATCTCTCCAACGCTCACGGCATCATGGAGTACTGTGATTGTGATGACCTCGTACTCTCCTGTCTTGCATCCCCCTGAACCAATTCCTAGTGATTCTCGCAATTCCATCAAGTCCACCCGAAAGCAAGATAGGAGCTGTGGTTATCACGCTCCATGATAAATCTCCTAACCGCCATGACAATCTCGTTGCTTCATCTTGACGCGGCCGACCCGTTTCCTTAACTTACCAACTCGCAAAATGTCAACGTGTTACTTCAACGCCTCGGCGGATGTGATTAGAAACCTTCGATGATATTTGTTACGCTCCAGAATCCAGTGCAGGATTTTACACCTTTGTCACAAACGAAATATACTATACCACGAAATACCTCTGCGCCTTCCGAATCCCGACATGGACATACGTCTCCCCAAATAGCGGAGCTCCTTGTCTCTGTCAGGTCGGGCCACCATCGCCCGTCCTGTCAAACCTACTGCTGGTTTGACAATTCCATATCTACGAAAGCAGCCCTTGCCGCGGACGATGAAATGTGCCTACAACCCTCGCATTTTGCGCCCAGTCAATGATTTCACTCCCAACCCTGTGAAGTTTCACCTGCCATTGCGAGTTCAACCAAGCCGTTTATCTAGATTCAAGAAGTAAGCGTTATGTTCTCGCAGCTCGAGTCAAGAAGCGAAGCGATTTGAGTTGGATTCACTCTTTCGTAGGAGTCCCTATCATCGTATCCAAGCATCCACAATTCTGACTCGCTTCTCTTCACTAGACAAATTTGAGATAGCGCTCAGCAGACGCCAGCTGTTGAAGGACGCTCCGCCAACGTTTGTACCAAAGCCAAGAACACAGCCCTGGACCTCCTTGACGTCGCAACAAGTGCCGCCCAACGTCGTTTCGGGTATCGAGACCCCACCCACGAAACAAACATCACTCGCGATTACCTGGGTCGTCCACCGAGTCGCAAAGAGCAAAGCAAGGTCCACAGTGGCGTGTGGCCCTGTAACCCACAAAGCGGCATTTAACGTACAAGCCACCGAATCGAAACAACAAAACCAGGACATGATGAAGTCTCGTTCCCAAAAATCTCAACCACATACATCCTCGACTACCACAGGCAACCTACCGCTTCGCACATGAGTTTTTACACTCATACCTACGCTCGAGCTCCCACCTTGGACGCTCGAATAGATTTGGAAGCCAATTCGTGTCTACCAACGCGAAGCAGCCTTGAATCAAGGCTGTTCCGAATCAGGAACGGTGGTGTTGTCGCTGAAGGGGCGGTTGATTTCTCTCCTCTACCGAGCGACTACCAACCGAGCGAGGTGCAAGTCCGATCTAGGGGAAAGCAGATATCCGAGTTATCGCATATGGACCCGAGGAACTCAATGCTCTATCGAATCCGTGGGGGCGTGGTCCCATCCAAGGAGACACGGACGGCAGTAACACCATCACAGGTAAGTCAAACCAAACTTAATTTCAATGCGTTGCTCACGCTCCCATGCATCACTCCCATTTCGACAGAGCTATGGAACGATTGGGCTGAAGAGCAAGGTCTCCAAGACAGAAGGTCGCTTGGGGAGACCCACCGGCAAAGGGAAGACGCCATCGGTGGAAGCTGATCAGGGACCCACGTTCGTCGATCCTTTCATACGCCATCCCAAACCAATCAGGGCTTTCGTACCTGAATGGCTCAACAAGATCGAGTTTCTTGAGGAAGCCGCTCTTCACACCGGAACCCAGCCAAATCCGACTGACGCACCATCAGTTTCACCAGGGGAGGCGAGGAAGAACGAAACTCACTCGACGAGTCTCCCTCACGTATCAGCTCCACACGGGGAGCCGTACCGGGTTGAAGCGTCCGGACGGCAGGATGGGGACAAGGCCATTCGCCCCCATCTAACGGTTGGGGCCTCCCAACTTGGGATCGACCCTTGGCAGCCAGACGACCTCGACGATTATTATCATTCCAACTCGGGTGCCCACCAAGTAATGACCACGGCAGATGTCTTGGCACTAGATGGACTGGGAACCAAGGAGGCGTCTGTGCCTCGTGAACCGTGTCTTGTATGTTGGATCCTGGGAGACGAACCATCACGAATGTCCTGTTTCTAGGAGGTGAGTTTTCCGCAAAGATTTACCTCGTCAGTTTTGCTAACCGTGGCGTCTCCTCGAAGATCACCGGCTAGCTGACGAGTAGAATAAGGGTGTATTACCGTCGACTCCGTGGGTGCTAGACATGCAAGGGATAATGAACGAACAGCTTCGAACTCGAAACTCGAAATGAAAATATGTGGCCTCTTCCGGCTATTCAGAGCTGCCGTCTGGTAATCCAGGAGGACTTGAGGCAACAAAGTGCTCTCTGCATCATTCGATCTTGTCGAGGGAGGCAATATGTGTTCACACAACTGTTGAACAAGCCTGTGAGTGGAAAGGTCGTGCGGCAGCAGCGGTGCCCAACTAGTCAGGGACAGGATAGGGGAACCGGTGAAGAGAGCGATCGCGGATGGAGTACTGCTATGGAAATGCCGCTGACAGATTACCTTGGGGAGAGGATTGGTCTTCAGGCTTGTCCAGTAAACCTTCCAACTCGTGTATGAGCATGAGAACGATTCTTGAGTGAGATGGAAAAAGGCTCCCAATATTACAGGGTGTGTTGTGTGTGTGGGCCCATCACAGAGGGAGGTAGGTCGATATGGAATAGATGAGCGTTAGAGCCTTAATGGGTAAAGAAAAGGACACTCCCCCCTGTCAGAACTCTGCAAGCCCCGAGACTTCTAAGTGCGAACCTCATACAGTAGTTCAAGCATTGAATGCCGAGACCTAACGCCGAATGGTGTAAACCAGTAACTGAAGTCAACAAACGAGATGGCAGACTATCGCGGATGGCAGGGCGTGGGACGATATATTCACAAACAAGCCGTAACTCCATAAGCCTTCTTAGCACAGTGGTAGTGCGTCCCACTCGTATGAGGTGATGAATCACTTCACTGCAATGGGGAGGTCGGTTGTTCAATCCAGCCAGGAGGCATATGTATTTCGCGGCCTTTTTGCCGACTTTTGTTGCAGCTATTAGTACAGGAATTACTTGATCCTGCCTCCAGGTGGATTATAATTTTCTTTGGCTATTATGGCCCTGGCTGGATTGAACAACCGACTTGGATCATGCTGGGTGTCATAATAAACTGTCAAAGTGGGGCCGAGACTATTCAGGTTCCTTCAAGCCAGCTATCAACCACCCGCGAAATGGTGACTTGGTCGCAATGCCAGTGATTAGGGTTAAATCATTGCCTACTCTACCCCCCTGAGAAATAGAAAATAGTCAGAACGGGCAGACAGTTTTTATTCCCCATTCCTATGCAACTAGATAGAGCATCTGAATCGAACAAACTTCGCGCCTCCTGGCTGGACTGAACAGCCAACTTGCCTACCGGGGACCAGTCAATGGGGCTGACACATCCACATCTGTCAAAGTGGGGCCCAAAGTGCAATCCAACGGGGAGACGTCGTATGCATTCAAGCGGCCCGCCCGTGTATCAGTTGGCATTCCAGTGATTGGAATTGACTAATTGCCCACTCTGCCTCGCCGAGAAAGAGAAACACTCAGAACCATCCCAGACAACCCAGGGCATCGAATAATTTTCATGCCTCCTGGCTGGATTGAACAACCAACCCGCCAACCGGGGACCGAGCTGACATCGCATCTAGTGCAACATAGAGTGAACGACTCGGGGAGATCGCATTCTCCAGAATTTCGATGAATATCGACATCACCAGTTATCCGAACGATTGGTCAATCCAGCCAGAGTCAAGACATTTCAGCGGGAAACGACATCGGATGGGAGTGACCCAGCGCGAAAGCGCTGGGTTATAAGAGTCCTTCGATCCAGCCAGGGGGGCGTTGAACGAGTGCTTACCTGCCAGTCACTCCGGTGGCGTATGCAGTCGACAACTGCCCAGGTCGTTAGCAATTGATCACCTGTGGAAGGCGGCTGGGGAAGGTCTAAGCTAAGTCGGCGCGGTATAATCGGACGATAGCGAGTGGTGATCAGGTAGATCACAAGGCATAACACTACGGTCAACAAAGCAACGATGAGGTTGGGGATAAGTTCACGACAGTGGGGCGGTGGTACTGATTCCTCCAATTTGAACGAGAATGGCCCGTGTCAGCATGTGGCCACTCAAATAAGCAAGGAAGAAGCACACCTCCGAAGACTACAGGGTTGGAGTCTTCCGTCTAAAGCTAAAACCATCGCTGACGGTGCAAACATTCTTGACCTCCACGTGAGGTCAACTGGGCAGTTCACGTCAATACCCTTGCAGTTCTATCGGCCAGATTGAAAGCTTTAACAAGGACCCTCGGACTGTGACACGGCTGGGAGTACAATCACAGATATCCCCAAAAAGAGAGGCCCGACCGACTGGGAGACAGGTAATACTTGTTCAGTCCGGTGTAGGTGCAGAGGGGGGAACGGCGAGATAAATCGAATAAGGGCCTCCCGGCAGCATGGAGTAAAATCAAGCGAGATAATATCGAGTGGTAGAAATGAACACATCATTCTTGAGAGATATTCAGTTTGGCGTACAGGCCGGACGTGAGAGAGACACTGACCTTCATGCTCGCTCTCCTTGGGCACAGCGAGTTCATTGAAACTCGAATGAAACTCGTCGAACGTGGGCTTTCCCAATATTGCAAACACCACTCTCTCGAACACATTCTTGAACCTGGCTCCTTCCACTACCAGTAACTCTGCCCATATCCTCGCCACCATACTTACCTTATTCTTGAATGCCCCAGTCCCGAAGCTTCCCAAAACTAGATTCTGCGTCCCTTGCTGTTGGAACAGGAACAGGATCCTTCCCATCCTCTCCTTCATAACCTCCTCAATCTTTGCTTCCTCCTCGAGAGCCTCTGTGTGTCCGCTACGTGCCACTCTCCTCACCTCACCAGCGTTGACCGCTGGACTAGTGAGGATATCAACCTCCAACGGCTCGATCCAGTTCCCAGCATCATCCCGAAAGATGAGGACACTAGGAGAGTAGATCATAGAGTGTGAATAGTAGCCACCCTCGGGATCGCGATTATGGAGCGTGTAGAATTGTTGAGCGGTGCCGGTCATGAGGCTTGACGATAATGTCGACGACCTAGCGATGGACTCCTCCTGAGATTGAGCCCCGCTTCGAAAACCCCCTCCAACCTTCTTTGCAGAAGCAAAGTTGAGAACGCCAGATTTCGCGTTATTGGGCGAGTTCGTCTTGTAGATGTCGGATAGCAGACGGACGCCGTCGATCGTGGAGACTTCAAGGAAAGATATTTCTGTGGGCGTTGCAGTGAGCGATGGAAGAGTAGAAGTGCGCCATGTCGACAGTTGGGAGGTCACAGAGTAAAAGCGAGTGCTTTTATTGGAGTGTCGAACTCTTTCAGTGATGTCGTGCGTGGTACCTTGGGTGGAGATGACACCTTTTTCGATCGCGTGCAATGTAGAGTGTGCAATCTCTTTCAGTGCTGCACGCCGGTCCCCCTTTCCTTGGGAAAGCATAGTGGACGTAGGCCTGGTAAACAAGACAGATGATAGTTACTGCTCGCTCGTGACAATATATCAAGATGCTCATTAAGCGCCCTCTGAGATCTGACTCTGGAAGATTTGTGGAAAAGCGGTTCCGATACCCACTACACCACCAAACCTGTAAATTGTCAACAGGATCCCAAGAAGTTGTTATTAGGGGTGTTCACGATGGCCATTTTCGAGCCATTTTGGGCCCATTTTTAGCACCCATTTTGTCCTCATTTTATCATTTTGAGATGTATTTCGTGAAAATGGACTGTAAAATGGACTCGAAAATGGGCCGAAAATGGCCATCGTGAAAGGGGGGGTCCGGAAAAAACTCGAAAATGGGTGTAAAAGTCATTTTTCACGATTCTCATTTTCGTCTTCGGCAGCTGTCGGCTTAGTGAATTTCAAGCTCCGCTCAACGGCAGTACATGCGGCAAAACCATTCGCTTAGAAACCCTAACCTAGTAGTAGTCCACAGGTCCCGCAATAGTCCAGCGGGTATTGAAAATAACCCCGAAAATGGTCATGAAAATGGCGTCGAAAATGGCCATTTTGCCAGAAGGAGCCCTCTAGGCCCATTGTCCGTAAATGGCAATTTTTGCCTCCCTTTTCGTCTTCATTCTCGTCTCATTTACAGAAAATGAAATGGAAAATGAGATGGAGAATGGGCACAAAATGGCTTGAAAATGGCCATCGTGAACACCCCTATTATTTTGTGCCCAGGATTGAGGCCAGGTTGTCGCTCTCAAAATGGTCTCAACCTATCGTTTGCAGAAGTGACAAACTGCTGTCGCGAAAATGTCGCTCTGACATTGTCTCTGCAACATCACGCAGGCCTCCGCGGCACCAACTTAGTGACATCAGAATGTCATGCATTCGACATTGGCTCCCCTGAGCTGGCCCAGAGGTAGTTCGGACATCAAGCCTGCAAGAATATAAAGTGCTTGCGTGGCCTTGCATTGCCACGTCGATCGAACTTGTCACCTCCCACAACACTTGCCCACTGTCCCGTTATTCCTTTTCTCATCGACTTGCTTTCCTGCTTGACCCTGCGCTTCGTTGGCGGCCTTGAGATCTGTGCAGAACACGAAGATAGCTATCCGACACCACAGCCCAAACTTCAAATCACATCCTGTTGCTCAACGCACCTGCCTCCTTTCCGGAGATTCAAGTGACGCCACCAATACCCTGCAACCATTTCCGACGCGATGGTTCCTTCCTCGCCGATCGTTGTGCAGATGTCGTCCGCTTTGGCGTTGTTCCCATCCCCATTGGCTTCCGAAGACTCGCAAGCAATCATTAGGGCGATAGATTCGGTCCTACGTTCGGGAGTCACCTCTTGTCAAGACATTCGCCGGATCGTCATCATGGTCTTACGGTCGTCGGGACGGAGTTCATTATCAAACCTACAATTGCTCGTCTGTTGCTGTGGCTCGGACTCTTTGGCTATCTATTTCGCGTCGTACACCTCTGTTTTCATACTCCAGCCAAACTCTAGCTCAAGCGGTTCTCGCTCGCCACGCCAGATCGCTTCGTGACATCATGTCTGCAACTTGATCATTTGTGCCACTTTCAGGATCCGTTGCTTACCCTCGTATGACGCTGTCACGGCGGGTCTGTCCACGGCACCTTGTCAGTCCTTTTCAAATTTCGGAGTGACGATATGAAGGATCGGGGAGGCTTGGGGTCGGACTATGTGAGATGGAAATGTGACGGAGTTTCAAGCCTCCATCCTCCAGGTTAAGGGCTTTCTCAGAGCTGTATTATGGAGATACCGCAATCATTGTTGAGGTCCGATGTCCGTATTACCATTACAATGTCAAGACTGTTTCCTCCATCTCTGCCTGAACCAACTTGAGATACATTTGAGCATTGGGATGATAATTGAATAAAATATATTCATAAAGCTCCGTGTTACCACAGTGTGTTGTTTCGCCAAGGTTGAATTAGCTGTTTACCGGAGGTTGCAAGAAATGTCTCGTTGAGGTCTGAGTGTCAAACGTCGCACGGACATACGAGATCAGTTGATGCTCAATTGATTTGCGCTAGGTACGTCAAAACGACCTCAATCAATGACAAGGTGACCTCGAGTGCGAGACCGTTGTCGTGCCTCTGAATCGACCTCTGGAAAACATCCCCCCGGTATGGTGGTGTAAGCTCGACGGCCTGAGGAATCAGGCCCGAACGCAGCCAAAATGACTTTGGTGATGTCATGTGGTCTTTTGTACCACTGACCCATCCAGATCCAGAACCGTTGCCGCCTGTCTCCCTGATGAGAAAGCTGTCTTCAACTTTGCAAAATTCACCTGAACACCGACATCTTTGTCCCCGAACGACGCCCCGTCCTCGGGCTCGTTGAACAAGTACAAGCGTACGGAAGACAGCAACCCAGGTCATTCTCAATCAGTGATCACCCTGTGGAAAGCGAGTGCAGAAGCACTAAGCGAAGCCGTGTGCAATGATCAAACGACAGTGG